CAGTGAGCCGACACATGCTTAACTACTGATTTATTGTGCATTCACATGACTTTACGCCAAACACACAGCCTTCAGTGGAGAAGCTGAACAGTATTCAGGACGCAGACACGTAAAATGAAGGAGACCAATCCCACGTCGCAGCGTGTCGCAATTACGCAACATATTTTACACACTTTTACTTGTTTTGAGATATTTTATTGTGATCTCGAATCATAGACTGTGTGTCTTGTATCTGCTCGACACGTGATGTAAGCTATACTCAAAGCAGGGGTTTTTTTTCTTGCGAAATGAAAGTGAAAGTGTCCCGAGTGAGTCCGTGTGCTGCTCGAGCAACAAGGAGAACCAAGGCTCAGATCACTAATGAATAATCATGGATTTAATCTCAAAGATACTTATTTCCCTCTGTCTATGTGCAGGTAAGTTATTGTCCAAAGTGATGTTATTGATTGGGATGTTTTTGGAGCTTGAATGGTCAGTAAGTAGAAACTCATTCAGTGAGTGGTGTCAGATCCTTTACTAAAGTCAAAGTACCAACACAGCAACGTTAAAGTACTCTAATACGGGTAAATCCTGCTTAAGTAAAAATAGATATCGACAAAATGTTTTTGAAGTATGTAGGTCAACGCTCTGCTTCAGTCCCTCTGACTGATATTTTATGACATCTGCTTTCATGATACCAGTAACAGAGTAACATCAGTGTATCAGCTGCATGTTGCTGCTGCAGGTTTCAACTACTTTATATCCAGTTTTATACACAGGAAGAGAACATAAGTCTTTTGGGCTCCTTGCATGATCTTACACATTTCTTGAGATTATTGGATCATTTTAAAATGTACTGAAATGAAAACCTGTCAGAAGTTTAGAGGTAAAAATGACCATTTGGTGGAGCTGTTCACCACTCAGGCATCTGAAATGTGAGCCTGACGACACCGCTGCTTTTAAGATCCCCCCAAAAAGTATGGAAATCACAAGTTCAATCTTTCACAGTGGGTTATATTTTAAAAGTATGTTATGTAAGCTATTCCTTATATCTTTAAAGTAACTAAAGCTGTCAGATGAATGTAGTGGAGTAGAAAGTTCTGAGTGTTAGTTGACTATACTGATTACTGTGTGTGTCTTGCAGGTGTGCAGAGTGTCCAACAGATAGCATGGCTGCCCTGTCAGTTCATTGATGAACATGTGTCTCTGAACAATGAGAGTCACGTTGACACTCAGCTCATCCACAGAGAGGCCATGCTGCAGTTTGGTCAGACAGGAGACTCTGCTGTTAATCCACGAGCCGTCACCTTCCTGGTCACAGGTGAGTTACTGCAGCCTGCACGCAGAGGAGACTGACAACTGTTGTCTTCATTTGTATTTTACTCTGTTGTAGGATCTAAGCTGGACCTGCGGCGGTACATGGAGGGGGTGGAGGCAGAACAGTTGGAGTGTGAGATGCGTAGGTACAGTACAGAAGGAATCCATGTCCGCTGGCCTGTCCAGGGGGCTCAGGGCTACAACCGCTGGTTCAGCTGCACCCTCAGACACAGTGAGGGCCTTTTCACTGTCACCGGCTTCCTCAGACACCCATCTGATCAACCTCCACCAGGACAGCAGGACTACCGCCGCTGGCCTCCAATCGCAGATGGAGAAATTCTTTCCACAACAGGTAAACTCAACACAGTGCCCTCAATTAGACTGAAACAAACCTGTTGTGTACGAAGGTAGTTTTGATGGGATATTTGTCGTTATGGGACATTTCTGCCACCATTTTTTTAAAGACACATTTTAGGAGCAGCTCAGGTTTCCTTGCAATTAACACACGTTGCCTGTTGTTTTACGGGAGAGTGGCAAAGAGAAATCCAGTGCTGAAAAAAGCTCACATGAAACCTTGACTAGAGGTTACCAGAAGGCATGTGGGAGATTCTGAGGTCAACTGAAAGAAGGTTCTGTTGTCTGGTGGGACTAAAATTTAGCTTCTCAGCCACCAGACTAGATGCAATGTTTGACACCAAACACTGCTCATCATCACAAACGCACCAACCCTACGGTGGAGCATGGTGGTGGCAGCATCATGATGTGGTGATGCTTCTTAGCAGCACTGAAAGGCTTGTAAAGGTAGAGGGTAACATAATGCATCCAAGTACAGAGAAATCCTGCAGGAAAACCTGATTTGGATTGCAAGATAACTGTGACTTGGAGAAGATATGTTATTCAGCAAGACAACGACTCAAAAAATACAGTCGAAGCTACACAGAGATAGTTTAAAGACAACAAGGTCAGAACCCAGACTTACAGTACCTGTGAAACCTAACAGAGCTGGAGCAGTTCTGCAAAACTGAATAGTGTAGAATTGCAGCATCCAGATGTACAAGGCAGATTGAGATCTATGGTATGCACACAGCATCGATGCTGTAATTGTGGCTATAGGTGCATCTACTACATACTCACTTGTAGGGGACGAATACTTATACAGTTACTTTTTAACATTTTTATCTATTTGAAATTGCAAATGTCTTCACTTTGAAATGAGTCCTTTTTTTCTTTCTAAATTCTTGTCAGAAAAGCCAAATTAAATCCGTGATGATTTAATGTTGAACAGCAATAAAATGGAAAAACTTCCTCTGAAGCTGTATATGCTAACGTGTTCATAGCACTCTGTTCATACTCGTCTTTCTTACTGTTCATACTGTGTAATATTGTATATATCTGATCAGATACGCACTGCCATTAAAGCTATTCCATGTAGACATTTTACATCACACTGCATTTTTACTTCTTCTTTTGCACTTCTGGTTCCATGTGAAACTATCTTTGTCTTTGTATTTGTACTCTGTGAAATGACAGTAAAGTTGAATGTAATTTATTTTCAAAATAATCTGTTTCCATAGTGGCCATGGTCATCAAAACACAATCTCCATCAGTGAAAGTTGGCCTGGCGTCCCAAAAAAAGCTTCACTGCCAATTTGCCATTGACCACAAAGGACCAAATATGACCGTGGAGTGGCACCGGCAGCATCGTGGAGAGAGGGTTAAACTCTTCAGCCATACCAGCCGCTCAGGGCGGACCGAGGGGACTGGTGTTGGGCTGAAGGATCTCGCAGGTGGAGATGCCTCCTACAACCTCCAATTCACAAAGATGAGCAGCGAAGCGACCTACATCTGCTCTGTGTCCGTGGTTCCACTGTTTGCAAGTGTGGACGTAAATCTGCGCATTGAAGGTGAGGAAATAAACAGAGTCCGTAAGAAATGGCAAAAAATATTGATAGTTTGTCCTATTAATAGTTATTAATAATCTTGATTTAAAATCTGACCTGTCCAGGGTGTCCCCTGCCTTCACCCTAAGTCAGCTGGGATAGACTCCAGTCCCCCAGCAACCCTAGTGAGGATTAAGCGGTGTATAGATAATGGATGGATGGATGATTTAAAATCTGCTCACTGGCTTTTTATGAAGTTTCAACTGTATTGTCTTAATCAGTGGATGGAGTTTATTTAGCCCTTTTGAACAAAGTAAAGATCTTTTTGTGAAACTTTAAACAAGAATGAACTTTACTGCATGCGCTCTCGTTGACCCTTAAACTGCTTTCAATGTTTACAGCCAGACGACACTTTATCTTTCAGTTTATACACTTAAACCGGCACCAGTTACCTTAAAGGCCCTTCAGCGGACATTTCCAGCTCAGTTTTTCACTAAAGCTAGCATTTCAACTCTTTTCAGTGTTATGACTTTTGTGTTTTAGTGTTATAACTCCTGAACATGTTCTTAGTTTAGCTCATCTTTTTCACTGTTTTAGACTTCAAGCGACCACACATGCGTTTCCTTCAGACGATAAAACTTGTAGCGTCAGCAGTAGCAACGCTGGTAGTTTTACTGTTAAACTACTGCTAAATGCTAACTGTTGTGGTAGTAGTGGCTGTCACTGTAGAGCGTATAACTGAATGAATACATTTCTCAGTTAAACTTTCATACAGTTCAGTATGCTGTCATTGTTCAATGTGGGTTGANCCAGCAACAGCTCCAGTCTCCACACATAAATCCTGATTTGAACTGAAAAGTTACCATTGGTCCTACATTTCTGTTTAATGCAAACCTGCCTTCATGACTAAGAACTAAACGATTGTTTGTGCCTCACTGTCTTTTTAACATCTGTTTCTCTAGTTGCCATGGTCATCAAAACACAATCTCCATCAGTGAAAGCAAGTCTGAGGTCCCAAAAAAAGCTCCACTGCCAATTTGCCATCGACCACAAGGGACCAAAGGTCACCGTGGAGTGGCACCAACTACATCGTGGAAAGAAGATTAAACGGTTCAGCTATATCAGCGACTCAGGGCGGACCGAGGGGACTGGTGTTGGGCTGAAGGAACTCTCAGGTGGAGATGCCTCCTACAACCTCCGCTCCACAGAGATGAGCAGCGAAGGCAAATACATTTGTTCAGTGTCAGTGATGCCATTGCTGGCAGATATGCAAATAAACCTGCACATCACAGGTGAGAAATTTATCATTTTACTTTTTCAAATAGGAGGTCATAAATTTCTGTTGTCTGAGTTGCGTCAAGTGCAGCATAGGTAATGGTAACTTCTTCTGGATACTTCTGTAAAGAGAGACATCAGAACATCTGCTTCTCAGCAAAGTCTTGGTTCAGGACACACCATCCTGAATGCTATAGTTTTATGCAGTAGCCACGAGTTTCAATATTTCATCCTTGTTTCTGAGAAATCTTATTTTGTCTGTCATTTTGACAAGACAGATGTGTCTAAATACTACATTACCCATGAAACTTGTGGTGATTCAAGCCTTAGATTATATTTGAAGGTTTCTCAAGGTTATAATCTTCAGCTCTTGTCAGATGTTAGCAGCTCACATGATTGGATGATTTGTGCTGAAATGCAGCTTGGGAGTGGTAATCAACATCCTCCACCAAACTTGTACCAACACAGAGCTGATTATATTAAACAACCAGATACTTTGTAGTGTAGGTGAGTTTCATACCAGTCCAAGACTTTATATTCTTTATTTAATTGTAGCATGCAAGAGGACTGCATATATTTATTATGATAAAAATGAATGGCAATGTTGCTTGTGTATTTGTCTTGTGTGAGGTTTTAGTGTGACCATTT